GATTTTTAGTATTTATTCTCAGATTTCTCTAGTTATTTGGGTACTTTACAAAATGGTTTCCTTTTCCTCCATCCCATACCAACGTTTGTCTGTTTCTTATTTTTCTTTATTTTTTTCCTATGAAATATTTAAAGGCTCATAGCCTGACACCTGGAAGAACAAAAGAGAAGAAAACATAGTCAGCATGGGCTCCAGGAGGCAGCCCCAGAAGTCTCCAGCTCTCAGGTTCTGAAACACAGCAAGGCTTTCCCACATTCCAGCTCTGAAGAGCTGAGGAAATCTGAGCTGGTGTTGAATTCCTTTTTCTTTTTTTCCTTTGAGTCTCAGAAAAACCTTTCTTAGGCATCCCAAAAAAGATAATGGCCACAACTTATTTCTTGTGTCCACTTCCTAAACCCAGCGTGTTTCCCATGGTTCCATTGATTTCCTTAAATGTTTCCCTCTGTCCCATTAGTTTGTCAAACACTCACCCATGTAAGAGTCACCTTCCCAACTGCCCTCCTCCAGACCGCTGCTCCCAGGTCTACGTGGCTGCTACAATAGGTGCACTTGATTCTGCCTTTCAGCCTCTTGTTGATTCGAGAAGGGAAGGAATTGGTGTCCTTCTATGGCCATCCTACCTTGGAAGACTTCTTTCGCTTGCACCCTGTGTTAGTCACCCCTCAGATACAGCAAACTCTAACCTTGTTAAAGGTCCAAACGTTGTTTGACCTGATTCTTCAGGAGAAGTTCAGATTTCTTAGCATACCTCACTCCGTCTTTAACTAGCTTCTTTCACCAGCAGTGACATTTCTGGGCTTCTCTACCATTGTTCTGACCTTCAGTTGTGGCCTCTCTCGAGTCCGTAGCTGCTACGCCTATGGCATATCTGCTGTGTTCTGTCCCACCGCGGAGAACTACTTACCCACCTCTTGGATTTTCTTCCTGTTAGCTGGTACTTCCTTTTGCCCCTAGGCAGGGCTTTGGTGTCATTGTTGGTAAAACTCTGTGGGTGGCTTCCCTAGTGAAATAGTATGTATGCCAGTTCTGTACAACAATGTGTTTGTCTCAGAAAGCATCCATGAAGAGTTATGGAGGGCACAGGAGACTAGGAACCCATCCAGCTTTCCACTGTGACTGTTGGGGTCTTGGGGACAGGTTTGTGTGCCTCCCCTTGCTTTCTCACTCTGAACTTTAGACCAGAAAATACCCTGCACTTCAAGTCCAAAGAGAAACTAAGAGGATACTGTCTGTCTTTGCTTGCTGGATTCATTAACTTAAAGAAATGTATCCTGTTTACATTTCTGGCAGCATTTCTTTGATTTGGGTGGTGGCCAAAGGCAAACAACCCAGCTGAGTGGGTTTTTAAAAAACAGCCTTCCAAATACACAAGCGTTGTCTGAGTGCACATTCAAAACCAGAAAGTGTCTTCAATCTAATTGTTTCATGCTGTAGGAAAGCTAATCCTATTTACTAGCATTTATGGCTAACTTAGCTTTAGTATTTACTATGGAAAGATTTTAGTGAGGAATGACTGTTTTAAAAAGATTTGGTTTGATCAGGGGCTAAACTAGCAAAATCTATTTGGAAATAAGATAACAAAATTTGCAGTTTTTGGTTCTCATCCAGTAAAACCAAAAACTCCCCAAATCTACATCCCCAGCAGACAGGGATCTAGTCCTTAACTCCAAGTTTGAATTGTGGGATTCAATAAATCATCTTTTAAAAGCTCCTTAAGCAGTTTAAAGTGTTACATTGTGTTGAGATGAAGTCATCAAACTGCTTGAGACTGTAACTGTTTATATTTGCACAACTGAATAAAATGTATGGTTATCAAAAAATTAAGTCTTTTGCAACATTGCTAGTAAGGCTATGTCAGTTGTCTTCGGGCCATTTTTTTTTCCCTTTTAGGTGTATATGAGATTCAGATTCTTCTTGGGTTTCATGTTTTTGGGAAATTGGCCTTTTATTAGAAAAGACAGGGCAAGATGTCTTATTATAGTATACCTTTTATACTAGTATTTTACTTTCAAACTGTGGCAACTCTCAGTTATGTGGAAGTAAACAGTGTTGCCAGTGACCTTAAACTGCAGAATGAATTCGTATCACTCTCTTAAAAAAGAAGAAAAATGGGCTTGGAACTTCAGCAGATGTCACAAAGTAGAAAACTTCTATGGAGCTTAACTTTAGATTTCCAGAACAAAATTGGCACGGAGCAGTTTTTGACTTGAATAATTTAAATGGACAAATGAGGGGGAAAAAAAAAACTTATTTTTTTTCTTGCAAATGGAGAGAAGATATTAACTATGGGCTCTTGTTAGCTGTTGTAATTCAAAGTTGATCTCAATTTTGCCAGCTGCCTTGGATTTTGGAAAAGAGCATAAGAAATCTTTTCCTTGTGGCTGGGGCAGTGAGTTGGGGCTGCTGGTTGTGGTGTGCAGAGTCAAGGCCAGCTGCCTTTGGGTAGGCTAACTTTGTGATGTGAGCATTCATGTGTGTGTGTTGTAAGCCAAACTTTGTTTACCCCCACTCACTGGGAAAGGCATGGTTTGTGCATTGTTGGAAACTGTCTTGTTAAATGACCTTCAGGTTTCTGACTCTGATTTGGCCCCCTGCCTTTGTCTCTGATAAACAAAAATTGTACTCCTGAGGGGTTGAGGATTTCACTAGGGTGAGGTTAGAGTCCTTCTAAAGCTAAACTCTTTAGTGTTTAAACATGGCACCTGAAAAGGTATCTTGTGGGTCAGATGCAATTTACTATACTGAGTTGTAGGGCTAGCAGGCAGATCGGTTACCTGGAGAAGGCAGACCTGCTTGCCACCCAGCCAGGTGGTTTCCTTCCCCTAACATTCTTATTTAGGCTGTTTATCCCCTTGATGTCAGGTGGAGGCTGAAGTCCTGCCCATCTCCCTCACCGCGCCTGGGCCTGTACACCTAGATGACAAGGACCCTTCTGATGGGCACAAAAAGGCCAAAACTCTTTGCCAGAGACCTCCACACACATCGGTTACCTTCTGTAAATTCCGCTAATCTTTGTTTTACATAATGTGGAAAATAGGAATCATCTTTGTTTCCTTACGTCCTCAAATCTTTGGCTTTTCATTCTTTGAGAAGACAGGAGATTGTGGTGAAGTTCAAGACAGTGGGAGATGGGAAGATGCAGCAGTCAGTGTGGGAGCAGGGAGGGAGGGGCATGGAGGACTGATGGGATCGTTATCCTCTGCAGGCTCTGACCCACCGATCCTTTCATTTACACAAGTGCACACTGGCAAAAACTCGGCTGGATCTTGCTAAGCCTCACCTTTTCCGACGGTTTCTTTTCCTTTGACATCTAATAACCCTCCATTTCCATGCTATGTAGTTGGAACATGTGTTGCCATGATTACTAGGTAACTTTTTAAAAACTTTTTATTTTGAAATAATTATAGGTTCATAGGAAGTTGCAAAGATAGCATGGAGAGGGATCACCCAGTTTTTCCCGTTGTTATGATATGCATAATTGCAGTACAATATCAAAGCCAGGAAATGACATTGGTACAGTGCATGTGGTGGGACTGTCCTTGTCTTGTCTTGTACTTTTATATAATCATCACAATTAAGGCCACAGACATCTCATGCTGCCTCTTTCAATCAGTCCCACTCCTTCCCATCACTAACCCCTAGCAACTACTGACCTACTGTCCATCTCTATAATATTGTCATTTTTTGTAAGCAGAACCATTGAGGTTGATTTCTTTCAGTTAGCCTAATGTCCTCCAGGTCTGTCCAGATTGCTACATGTCAGTAGTTCGTTTTTGTGTTTTTTTTTTTTTTATAACTACTGAGCTACACCCCCAGCCTCGTCCACTCATTGTATTGCTAAATAGGATTCCATGGTATGAGTGAGTATTCTACAGTTTATTCCCCAATCTGGGGCTCTGTGCATCTAGCTATTGTAGACATTGCTAGAGAGGTTTCGTATGGACTTGATTTTCATTTCTTTGGGATATACTCCTAGGAGTGAAGTTGCCTGATTGTATGATGAATGTGCATTTAGCTCTGCACAAGAGTCCACCACTGCCAGTGCTATGTGAGAGCCGCAGCTTCCCTGTATCCTCATTGCCTCTCGGTGGTGCCGTGGTCTTTTATTCCAGTGCGTGTGACGATCCTTCACCTGCTGGTTTGCTGTTTGTGTGTGTCTTCCAGTGACATTCTCAGCATGTCTTTGGCCCTTTCCCTAACTGGATTGCTTGTTTTTTGTAACTGTTGAATTTAGAGTGTTCTTTATACATTCAATACATGAGTCCTTTGTCAGATATATGTCTAGCAGACCTGCTTGCTACTCAGAGAGGGAGTTTCTGTGCCCTAACCCTGTTATTTGGGCAGTTTCTATATCCCTTTAACCTGCCTGTGAGGTTAGGAAAGAGCAGAGAATGCCAACTTTATTTTTAACAATGAAAAAAGAAACAAAAGAAAGGAAAATGGTTTCTCATAGCTACAAACAGTGGTAGCATTAGGCTGAAGACAGGCTGTCATGCCTTGTGGGCTGGCTCGGCTCCTGTCCTAGTTTGTCTGATCCTGTCTTGTGGCTACATCAGCCTGTGTACACATTTCCCCACAAGTTTTAAGTGAGGGGACAGTCAGCAGTCTCCTTCTAGGAGCTGTGAGGTTCAGGGGTGACGGCACAAACAGTACTAGTTGTTCTCAGACCATTGTCTTTTTTACAGTGTAGCTCATTTTTCAGTGAAATTTGCTGTGTTGCGCTACCCCCCACACACACACACACACCTCAGCTAGCCTCTTTCCGGTGCTTTTTTATATAAACGGAGGGGAAAGGCAGCGTGCACATGCATGTGTGTATTTCCATAAGGTCGTGGCCCTAGGTTCAGGCATTCATGCTATGACAAAACAAACCATGAGATGACTTCTGGTTGCAAACTTGACAGCTTGTGAGTACTGTTGACAGCCTGTGCCTGCATGGAGGTTCTTGTTCATGAGTTAGTCTCAGAGCACAATTAAATCTTTTTTCCCTTATTTTCCAGGGCTCAAGGGTGCTTGTTGATGCACGAGACAAGCTTGGCATTCCTTGGCAGCACTCTGAAAATGAAAAGCATGGGATGTTCCTGATGGCCTTCGAGAATAAAGCGGGGCTTCCTGTGGAACCCGCCACCTTCCAACTCTATGTGCCAGCTCTAAGTGCGCTCTGGGGGGACTCTGGCATCCGGGAGGCTTTCAGCCGAAGGAGCGAGTTCCAGCTGGTGAGTGAACCTCCTGATTTACCACTTTCTTTCTTTTTTCTTTCTTTTTTTTTTTGTTTTTTGAGACAGGCTGTAAGTTGCCCAGGATGGGCTCGAGCTTACCATCCTCTTTCCTCTATCTCCCAGAGTGCTGAGATTATAAATGTGCATCCATGCCTAGCTTACGTGATTATTTTGTCCGTTAGTAGAATTTCCTTAAAAACTGTAAAACCATAAGCAAGCTGTACATCACCAGGTGTGGTGGAACATGCCTGTAATCTCAGCACTCGGAAGGCTGAGGCAGGAGGATCACCATGAATTTGAGATCAACCTAAGCTACATAGTAAGTTAAAGGACACCTTAAACCTGTAGTTTTAAGACCCTGTCTCAAAAAAAAAAATTTTTTTTTTAATGGATCCTAACATTCAGGAACAAAAACACATGGGGAAGCCAGTTGAACTATTTGAATGGTTCAAGAGGGAGATCAATTTACTCAGGTTAAATGCTTTGTTCAAAGAAGAAAAAACTTTAAAATACAGAACACTGGTGCTGCTGGGGATCTTCTCCATAGTAGGAAATCAGTGTCCCCTGCACACAGTTCTCCACCTGGGGTGTGTGGGTGCCACAGATCCTGAGCGTTTCCAGGTCTGCAAGTTGTAGAAAAGCTAGTCGTTTTAGTCACCTAGACTGTGTTGGCGTATGCATCTATAATCAGAAAGTGTGAGGTGTGTGCCTGTTTGCCTTCTGGTTTTGCCTAACTACCTTGCAGTGTTGACAGTGTGCTGATCTTCTGTTACCAGAGCAGGCGGGCATGGCTAACCCTGATGCACACCCCATGTGCCTGGGCTCCAGAAATGCTGCTGGTCTCTTCGTGTCTTTACCCTGAGTGACCGAATCCCAAGTTTCACATCATTTGTCCTTGACTTTCTTTTATGGTTTTGCTGTAACATATATGTATTTTTAAGCAATAGAGCCATGAGTTTGATAGATTTTCAAACTTTAAATGAATGGATTCTTCCTATAGCTAGTCTTCTGGAATTGCCTTTATTACTCAGCAATACGAAATTTACTCACATGTTTTTCCATTTCCCTGCTGCCTAATGTTCCATCATGTGAATACACTGGGGCTAGCCCTCTCCCATTGGCACACTTCTCAATTGTTTCCCACTGTGCTGTTGCAGACAAATTCCTGTGATCTTTCTTATCTTCTCCAGATCCACTCACTCAAAGGTTCCTCTAGGAGGATCGCCAGTTTATGGGTGTGTTTACCTCCAAATAGACACAATATCACCAATTTCCAAAAATGGCTATAGCAGTTGTGCCTCCACCTGTATAAGAAAATTTCTTTCTTTTTAGGGGGTCAGGAAGAGTATATACCAGGAATCAGATTCAGGACCTCATACTTACCAGGTAGACACTGCACCACTAAACTAAAGCCCCAGCCCCAGGAATTTCAGCAGTTCCACATACAGACCAGGCCAATATTTAATGTTAACAGACTTTAAATTTTTAATTATATCTCATTATGGTTTCATGGAAATTGCCCTGAATTTACTAGCTCTGGCTCTTTGGTTTCTCTTCTGGGATGCCTGTTGTGTCTTTTACTTTTTTTTTTTCCTCCTAAGTAGTTTTATTTTCTTGTTTACCCATGAGGCTCTGAGAGAGTCTGCTAACCATCCTTCCAGTTCAGTTTCCATGTGAGCTTCAGCTCATTCCCACAATGCTAACATTTTACCCACCTAAGTACAGTAATCAAAATAAGGAAATTACGGGTACAGTACAATTAATCTACAGATTTTATTGAAACTTAACCTGTTTTTCCTCTAATGTCCCTCTTGTGCCCAGGGATCAGCCCTAAACTCCCTTTTGTGGTGAGTTGTCTGTCCCATTGGTCTCTTTTGATTTGTGACAGCTACTTGGTCTCTGTCTCTCATGACCTGAACACCTAGAGTCCACTGGCCAGTTACTTTGCAGAAGTCCTTGTCTGGGTCTTTCCCATCACTAGAGTGGGGTTTCTCATCACTAGAGTGAGGCAATGGATTATTTGGCCAGAAAACACTGAAGTGACACTATCCCAAGCCCAGAACATCCTGCCAGGTGTTACATGATGTGGACAGGTCCAGTTACAGTGCTATGAACCTGGGTTGTTTGGTCAAGGAAGTGCCTGCCAGCCATGTCCCCTAGAAAGCCTGTTTTTCTCTGTATTATTAGTAGAAGTCTTGAGATATTTTGACACTATGCTTATATTCTATTTCCTCCTTAAGATTTTGCCCACTAATTTTATTTTTATTGCATTTTTATTAGTATATTTTAGACATACATAATGATGATGCTCATAGGAAATTTGTACCAGGTAGACGATATATCTTGCTGCTTCCTTTTTTTCTCATTCCCCACCTGTCTTGAGTCCCTCTTCCCCTCCTCATTTACAAAAGCTTTGTTTCCAGTTTTTTCCCTCTATTTTTTTGTCCCTTCCTTCCTTTCCCCCCCTCTCTTGTTCCCCTTCTCATTGACTATTTTGTTCCCGTTTTCCAATATCTCTTATACATTTTGATCCTTATCTATACTTTGAGTCTCACATACCAGAGAAACAGTGAAGTATTTAAACATGTGCATTCTATTTGTTTCACTTAAAGAGTATGGTCTCAAGGTGCAAATATTTAGCTAGAAATGTCTCTAGTTTATGCTTCTTTATGGCAGAGTAGTACTCCATTGTGTTAACAATCATGTCTTCTTTATCCATGCCCATTGGTTGATGGACATTTGGCTGTTTCCAAGATGTAGCTATTACAAACTGCTGCTATTAACATGAAAGTGCATATATTGCTGTGGTATGATGCTTTTAATCCTTTCAAAAAGATCCCAAGAAGGGGAATATCTAGGTCAAGTGGAACTGCTAGTTTTAGTTTTTTGAGGAATCTTCACACTGATTTCTGCAATGGTTGCACCAGTGTACACTCCCACCAACAGTGGAGAAGGGTTCCCTTTTCTACAGTTCTGCCAGCATTTGCTACTGGTTGATTTATTAATAGCCATTCTTTCTAGAGTGAGGTAGAATCTCAGTATCATTTTAATTTGCATCTCTTGCATGAGCAGTGATGTTGAACATTTTTTCATATATTTATTTGCCATTTATACTTCTTCATCTGAAAAGTTGCCCATTTTTGGATTGGGTCTTTAAATTTGGGGGGGTTAGCTCAGTGGTGTAAGTGCCTGCTTGGCAAACCACAAGGTAGTGAGTTCAATCCCCTGTATCAAAAGAAAAAAACCCCAAACAAATAAATAATAAATTGGGGGGGTCTGGTTTTTTTATTTGTTTGTTTGTTGGGTTTTTTTGGGTTTTGCTTTTTTAGTTCTTTACATATTCTAGATGTTAGTCTTTGTCTGAAGACCAGCTGGCAAAAAAGTTTCCCACACCATGGATTGTCTCTTCACTCTGTTGATTGTTTCCTTTACTGCATGAAAGCTTTTTATTAAGATGAGATCCCAGTTGTTGATCCTTTATGGTAGTTCTTGTGTAGTTGGGGTTTGGTCCTTAAAAGACTTTTCCTGCTTACACCAATGTCTTCAAGAGTTCTACCTGTTCTGTCTTTCAACAGCTTTAGTGTTTCTGTTTTAATATTTAAATCTTTGATCCATTTCAATTTTAGTTTAGTGCATGGTGAAAGATGTCAATCTAATTTTAATCTTTGGCATATGAATAGCCAATTTTTCCCAGGACCATTTATTAAAGAGGCTATCTTTTTTTCACTGAAGGTGTTTGTTTCCTTTGTCAAAGATAAGGTAGCTGAGTGTGTTTTGAGTTGTTTCTGTATCTTCTAATCTGTTCCATTGATCCTCAGGTCTGGTTTTATTTCCCCCCTATACCATGCTGTTTTTTTCACAGTAGCTTTGTTCAGCCTGCAACACTCCATGTACCTCCTGTCAGCTTGAACTCGGCCCCTTGACCTCATGCCTACTTGAACTCAGTTCTGCCACACTCTGACTCTGGGAGCCACTACATGGAGCCAGCCTGCACCTGCTCTGAGTTTTGAGCTCAGTCTGCCTCTCTCCAAGATAGCTACTGGCCAATCACCCTCTCTTGGAGGTCGTCTGAACCCAAGTATCTCACCAGCCACTGCAGCCTACTACATCTACTGCTCTGCTCCACTGGTGCATTTCTCCATGGGGTCACCAGTGGTCACCGTGCATCTGCAGTTCAAGCCATCCCTTCCACGTAGTGCATCAAGTCTAGGAAGAAAGCGCTGCTTGCCACTTACTTCTTCTGCATTGAAATCTCTCTCTTCACTTTCCCTATGAGCTTCAATTCTTGCTTCAGATACTTGCTGGATCCCAAGAACCTACTTCCCTGCTCTTCTTTTCCTCACAGTGCTATATTTCAGCATCTGGACTCAAAATCTTGGACAGACTGTTTCTCTGTCTTCACTGTTCTGCCATCTTCCCAGAAGTCCCTTACCCACTAATTTTAATGCCTGTTTGGGGAGCTTAACGATGACATTTTTAGCAACCTTGTAATCCTAGCAGTGGGGAGGCTGAGGCAGGAGAATCACGAGTTTAAGGCCAGTCTGGTCTATATAACAAGAGCCTACCTCAAAAAAAGACACATTACCAACTCTTTTTCATTTACACATTCAGCAGTTAAAGGGAAAGAGTGAAAAGAAGTAAAAGACATTGACATAGAAAAATTCCCTTCTTAAAGGCAAGAATGTAACAAGGGACTGGGAGAACACAAGTTAGAATCAAAATGTAGATTTGGGTTAATTCTTTTTCCTCCACAAATGCACATGGCCAGGGAAAGAAGATTCTAGTCTATTTAGAACTGGAATTGGAATTGAAACTGCTGCTATTAATTATCTATCAAAGAAGGAAACAGAAATACCCAGAGCGGATTACTTACAACTGATGTGTAATGAGTAGTCATTTCGTCTAGGACAGAAGTATGCTGAGGTGGTTTTATCAGACTTACCATTTGCCTTATTCCATTGGGCACAGTATTTTAGGGCTGGGAGGGAACCCCAGATTAGAAAGTCAAGCCTTCAAATTGTTTTGGCCTTGGAAATAAGCCCAGAGAGGTTAAGGCTCGGCCAAGATCACATCTTTTGATAATCACTGTGAGAAATTTGGGCCTCAAAGTCCAGTCTGCTTATTTCTTGCCATATTTGCTCACGCCGTCCAAACTTATGTGTTAGACACTGTGCTGTGTGCAAGAAATACAGCAGCGAGTAAGAGCAAACGTAGTAAGCCCAGGGATTTAGCTCAGTTGTATAAACACCTGCCTGGCAAGCACGAAGCCATGTGAGTTCTATCCCCAATACAAAAAAAAAGATCAAACAGGTATCTATCCCCAGAGAGCTTTGAATCTAGATGTAAACTTGACATACAATCAGACTTCCACAAGGTGGGCCCAGAGTTCTCTTTCTATCCTGTGCTTCAAACAGCATGACTTTTTAAATCTATGGCTACCAGAAAAGTACACTGCTCAAGTCAGTCATATATTCTTAAAGGTAATAGGACCAAAAGCAAGTGTGACCGTGTTAAATTCTTAGCTGTTTGGTAGTAGATACAGGTGTGTCTATTACTCCTATACTTCATACATTTTGTATTTTTCAAAACTATACCATTTTATTGTAAAGTAGCTAGGTATTAGGTCCTAACAGTCATTGTCATCAGGACACACCGTCACCATGAAATGTCAGGAGCATAATCGTCTTCATTCCCTGTGCTCTGCAGTTGTCCTGGCGTCTGTCCTCTGAATCTTTTCCTTAGTGTCACAAGTAAACATTTCCAGGGCAGTGTTTCAGCAACTTGTTTTTGCTTCTTTTCCATCCCAGCTGGCAGAACTTGCAGCCTTTGACAGCTGGGAGTGCTGTGGGCCAGGTGGCCACCCTCCCTGTCTGTATGCTGCCTGGACTTGCCCCTATTCCAACCAGAGACAGAGACAAAAGCAAGAGAAAAGGCTGGATCTGATGACCATCTTGTGATGGCCTTTCTCCCCTGAGACAAAGAAGAGACACCTCAATGGCTTCCTCTCAGCCCATCAGTATTGCATGCTCACTGGAGTGCACTGCTATTCAAGGCCAGCCTGGACTTCAGGGTTGATGTCATGTCTGTGGCCCAGTGACAAAGGAAGGAAAGTGACCTTGCCACATCAGACCTCAGCTCTTAGACTCTAGCAAAGAAGACACAGCAGGCACTCAACAGAGAGGTTTTTGCCATAAGTACAACAAATGCTGTCTTTTTATGTTCCTCTTTTTAAATAAAAGTGAATTTACGTTTTTTAAAGCATAACATACAGGTGATCACCAATGTACTTACAGTATAGCACAGTACAGGTGATATTACCATGAATTATGTACATTCAGTTATTCATTTTAATCTGGAAATCTAGTGAATTAGAGTGATCTGACCTGGATACGCTGGTTGTCTATAGTGTCCAGCACTTGGTCTGCCCATGATGGTGACTTTGGCACATAATGGTTCGCCCTGCCAGGCCATATGCCAGCTATTCTTCCATTTCTTCCAGTGAGTCCTTCCTGGGTGCCAGGAACTGTACACCAAGTCCTAGTTCCTCAAAGAGCTGGAAACCTAGACAGACATGTGAGGAAATAATTGCACTAAACTGTGATACAAAATATATTTGAGGATAGTCAGGCTACATTAGACACAAAGGAAAAAAAGCAGGCAATACTACTTGGCAGGAAGGGAACAGATGTTCTTGGAGGTTTTTCTAAAAATTGGCCGAGATGAGCCAGGGGGACAGTTGGGATCAGGAAACAGGAAACAGAGAGAGATGGGGCCTGGGGAAGCTGCAAACAGTGACAAAAACTGAATCTGGTTCAATCCATGAAGGAACTTTACTGCTGGGAACAGACAAAATCCAAGAATGGAGACTATCTTAGCCTGCCCATCCCTCTCAGCTGGCTGTCTTTGGGCTGGGTTTCCCCTGTGCCTGCAGAAGGGTAGCAGCAGGACAAAAGCGCATAAGGAGGCAAAGAGGAGCAAAGAGGACCAGGCACACAGCCAGGCAGCGCTGCATGTGGGTTGGTTAAGCATGGGAAAGCCTGCTGTGGGACTGGGCACTGAGAGAGGGCTCAGGGTGGGAAAGATTTCCCTCTGGCCATTTGGCCTGAGCGCTGTGGACTTGGATGCAGGCAGTAGGGCACCAATGAGGTATAGAGAGCAGAAAATAACCAATCTGAGATATAGTTTTTCCGGGAACTTCAGTGAGTGGTGTAAAAGCTGAAGAGAGAGGCAGGGCTGCCCAGCTCTCTGAGAAGCCAGTCAGAAGGCTGGGTGGGCTGGCACCAGGGTACAGTAGTTCTGATGCTCAGCTTCAGGTCTTATGGCTTGGTGGTTTCTCACTAGTTTTTGACGTAATCTTTTGCTTCTTAACTAGTAATTGTAATAATCATCACCATACTTTCCTTTACACCTCCATGTGAGCAACCTGGGAAATCAGTTAGGTACAGGGTAAATCTCCCAGACAGAGAATGAGTATTGTCTTTCATGATATACTCTCAAAATTGTGACCAGTTAACTAAATAGAATGGCCACTTTGTTGCTATGGGCTGGTTGTGCCTGTGAATGTTCTGAGGATGGAACAGTTCTAGGAGTTTGAGACATCTATGACCACATGTCCATAAGAGGTGAGCACCTCCTTAGTCTGGAGCTGGGGAGCCTTACTCAGGTGAAGTGCTACATACAGACTGGCCGCTGTCCTCTGCTGTCCTCAGACACTTCTTGCTTCCTGCTTCTCAAGTTAAGTCATCTGGCTGTGAATGTATCTTATATCCTGTCCGTTCTTATTCTTAGTGACAGAACTTCATGCCTTCTTGAGATGTTTCCCTTTCAGCATTGGAAGATGCAGATAACAGCTTCCCCAGGGCCCAGGTTATTAGCACTGCTTTCTCTCTTCCTTCTCCAGTCCTCACCCAGCGTCTTGGACTTTTTGGGGGCCATTGTCTGTAGAAGCATGGCTTACAACTTCTCGGGCTTGGAATGCTTTCTGGTAAAGCTCTGGGATAAAGTAGTATCAGTCTGTGCTATGTGTCAGTTGTGTCTTTTCAGAAGAGAATCCTCTAACAAAACCACTTGACAAGCACAGCTCAGTGTGCCTTTGGAAACTTGCTGTACTTTGCTGATAGCATTTTAATTGACTTTTAAAGTGGTGCACCTGAGTTTTTTAGTCAGCTTTTGAGACACTAGACAGCTGGGCTAGGAGACGAGGCTAATAACTTAGAATGTCCTTGGGCCACAGGAAACAAAGTAACTTCAACAGAAAAGTGCATTTGTACATTTTCCCTGAGCACCATTCCTCCTTGGACACTTGCAATGCAGTGACTTGGTAGTCACTGTGAGATACTCAGGAAAGTGTGTTTTTGCAGGTGGTATCTTAGGAATGAGACCTAAAACATCAGCAATGCCTGTCAAATGGCAGGTTACATTCCATGTTGTCTGAGGGCAACATAAGTGTTCTCCAGTTGTGAATCCAGTCATATGTCTGCTGTGTGTTTTACCTAGGCCCACCAAGGAGCAGTTGCAGTCCCTTGTAGAGTAATCCTTTGCCATTTCCATATTTCTTCTCTTCTTTGCTACAGACTTAATTCTTTCTATCTCCAGACTTGATTTTTTTAAAGTTCTCAGTGTAATCCAAGGTTTTAGACTAGAGGAAAAAAGTAAAAGCTGGAGTGCTGATGAAGACAAGACCCAAGCTTCTGGTGTATTTCTATGTTGAAGTACTCGAAATTTCCAAAGAATCTGCTTTGTAGCTGTGTGAATCTCTTGCCATGCAACAGACACAAGTCTCCCCAGTCCTGTGCTATTGCTGTTTGGTTTGGTTGCATGTGACTGAATCCCCAATGAGCAATGAGGCTCAAAGATGGTCATCTTTCACCTTCTCAGAAAAAAGCCCGGAGGTAGCCAGTCTAGACATGATATGGGGTATGTGTCCAGTCTTTCGAGTATCCTGTGTCACAGCTCCTGTTTTCAGGTATGCCTGTCAGACTGCATTCCAGACCCCGACGGGGATGGGAAGAGAGTCCTCCATATACTCTTGGGGGCCGTCCTGGAAGCACTGTCCACTTCCTCCTCAGGCTCATCACCTAGAGCTTGGCCATGCAGCCACACCTGCAGAGAGGGCGCCAAGTATGTGTTCATGGCTGGAAAGTGTCACTAGGAGGAAGGCTGGAGTGGGAGCCTCCCCCAGCGTCTTTTGGTCTTTTCCTACCTCTGATCTCACACCAAAGAAGTCAGTGCATCATGCAGAGTCCTCACATAGTCGGGCTGCGATAAATCATCTTATCTCTTTATTGCTGTGTGAGGAGGAAAACACAGTCACACATGAGAGTCTGTGGAGTGTTCTGTGGTCTAGTGGAGATAAGCCACAAGTAGTCTTGTGCATCTATATCAATTTTATGCAATTGGTTCAATTCGTAAATATCTGTGGAGGACCACTGTTTGTCTGGTGGTGTAATGAGCACTGGAGAAATAGTAGCAGACCAAGACCAAAGCTCATCCAGATAAGAAGAAACAGAGCCAGCACATTAATATGTGTGCATTAAAGAACGCTCTAGCTGAGCACTGGGCTAGAGAGAGTGGAGGGTGGGGGGTGCGGAGAGGGAGACCTGGACAGATATGTAGGTTGACCCGGGGGTTTCTTCAGCAAGTTCTTATTCTCTGGAGAGAACTTGCTCTCCCCCAGTTTTGTTTTCTCTACTTTATGATAACCAAGTTTTGACTGTGACCACAAACCCAAGTAATACTTTCTGTTTTTTTCTATAGTTTGAAATGGCCATGAGACTAAGTGCTGGGTCTTGCCCTTAAAATGAATGGAGTTTGCCTCATCCTGTCTTCTACTTCCTGATGGCTGCCCAGGGTCAGTTACAAATGGAAGCAGCACCCTATGTGTAGCAAGGCACCCCTTTGTTGGCTTATAGTCCACTATACGTGGCTTATAGTCGACTTTGTTGGCTTATAGTCCTCACCAAGTCACTTTCTGGAATGTTCCCAAACGGAGTGTTTGGGTGAAACAAGATAAGTATTCTAGTGAGGTGCACTTTGCATGTGCAAAGGCCTTAAGGCAGAAGTGACCTGTGTCCCAGAGTGCAGAGAAACTAGGATGAGGCAGAGACTTGACAGCAGACAGGTGAAAGGTGATAACCCCAGCAGCTCCACACCGCAAAAGGTTCGTGGTGCACTGGAACAGAGCAGAAATATCAGAGAATAATTTCCAGAGAAGATGGAGTTATATTTCAAATACTCAGGTACCTGACATTACTGTCTGAGTTTGGGTTTGCTCTTATGTATGTATGTATGTATGTATGTATGTATGTGTGTGACAGCTTTGAACCATCCAGATTAAATTAACTTTCTTAGTGTGACTCATAATAGAAACTTAAGTGTTCAATTCAGAAGGACTTGAAAAGCTAACTACACCCTCTGTCTGATAGGAAACCATTTGAGGCCTGAGAGGAGAGGAAATTTGCCTGATATGACAGATGAATGGCCTGTCTCAAATGAGAGTGGGAGACTGAGAGGCAACTGTGCTGGCCAAGCTCCATCTGGGAGCAGACCGGTCTCTCTGGGGTGGTTCTCACCTAAGCTGGGGCCAGGGGGTCTTTCTGTGCTGCGGGTGACAGTGTCTCTGCCAGTGTTAGCCTGTACCCTTCATTAACACTGAGTTATGCGCCCTTTGGAAACCCAGGTCCTGTAGAACACATTGCTTCACGGCTGGAGGCTTTGCCAGCCTGTGACACAGTGACCCTGGGATGGCAGTGTGACATGTGGAAAATGAAATACTTTATGTGATAACAAGACCAGAGACCCTAAAAGAAAAAACTAATGGGTTTGACTATCTGAACATTTGTAATTTTTGTATGTCAAAAGTCAGCATGAAGAAAATTACAAATGACAAATTAGGTAGAAAATTGCAACATAACAAAGAAGTATTTCTTTTTATTTTAAGGAAGCATGTAAAACAACCAGAGGTATGGGCAAGATTTCTTTTTTCCCTATACCAGTGTTCAAACCCAGGGGTGCTCTACCACTGAGCTATATCCCCTGTTTTGTTTTGTTTCGTTAGACAAGGTCTTGCCAAAATGCTTATGTGAAACTCAGGTTTGCAGTCCTCCTGCCTCGCCTTCCAGAGTGCTGGGATTACAGATCTACAACACCACATCCAGCTGAGCATGCTTTTATGAGTCAGTAAATGAGGTATTTATCCTCAGAAGAAAACTGAGTGAAAGAAGAAATAAAGATCACTAACCTAATTCCTAATCATGGGAATACAAATTGACAAGCAGTAATAGTGTAAGTCTTTTGTTGGTTAGATAAGTATTGAGTTTAGAGAATGGTAATCCAGGCAGATTGAGCTGAAGGAGATAGGTACTATCCTACATAACTGCTAGGAGTATCAAGTGATGAAGGTTCCCATTTGGGGTCAAAACATAGCATGTTCTATCCTCTGACAGTAATTCATCATTCAAGGATTTTATCCCAAAGCAATAATTGTAAGATTTCCAGCTTCTAGATGTAGTGGAATGGTTATCCAAAGACCTGCTGAAAATAACTTAAAATGCTAGATAAAATGTTAAAAATAACTTTACAAAAGCCTCTAAGTGCCAGCAGGATTATAGGGGGTGAGAGCCCTGAGAGGTAGTGGATCCCTGGCAGCTGTGGACAAAACTCTGAACCTGAGCTCTGGTTTTTGATAATCTAGTTGGAGAGAGACATGGTCTCAAAAAGAGAATGGAAACTTAAGATTCTCAAAATGGGGGATCAGACCAGAGACCCCCTAAAATGAGCTGATCCTACAGAGGGCAAGGATGAGCCAAAAGTGAACCCACAAAAGTAGAGATCCAGTGTGAGAAGACCAAATAAAAACTACCACAGACAGACTGCTCCAGGGACTTGTCACACAGATTCACACCAGAGCAGTGCATGCAGACCCGCTCTAAATTTAGAGTGACACCAAACAGGTAGTATGCAACATACCTGGGAGGGGCAAATAGAAACCCTCTCTAAAAAAACAACCCTTTAATCCTAACCCTGGAAGATTCCCCATGGATGTTTTTAAGGGCTGACTTATATCACAGAGATGGCCAAGCTCACAAGGAAACCAAACTGTGCCAGTGTCCAAAGGACAGAGCAGAATTGTGCAAAGCCTTCAGAGAGCAAGCCTGTGAGGCACAGCTGCACAGAATGTGCTCCTCCCACCCACCCAATTCTGGGACAAGGCCTTACTGAGTCCTGCCCAGGCCTGCACTGCTCCTGCTTCAGCTTCCCAGACGTAATATATTTAAAGAAATAAAAGTTAGAAAATATCTGTGAGAAAAACTGGACACTGTTAAGTGATGTTTTAATAGTCTTAAAAGCATTTATAGAGAAAGGTAGAGATGTACGTTCCAGACTTTCCGGGAGTAAGAGTTCAACTATTTTCTTCCCAAAAGCTGCACAGGAATCAGAGTGTAATGACACCTTGAGATGGCATCTGTGAGAAACCATAGCTCACTCCAGAGCTGTGTAAAATGAGAACAGAGATGAGACATTTTCACACTATGTTGAAGAGAGGTGACCAATACCAAATCCTCACTAAAAGAATCGCAAGAAAACTTCAAGCCAAAGGAAAATGACTGCAAAGGTTTGAAACCTGAGAAACAATGACAACTACTTTTTTTTCATGTTGTTCCTACTTTTGATGTCAGATCTAAGAATTCATTGTCAAGTCTGAAGTCACTAAAATTTATTCCTATGTTTTCTTTTAGATTTAGGTTATTATTTTATATTTAGATTGTTGATGCATTTTGTATTAGAGTGAGGTGGGGTCCACATCCATTCTTTGCCATGTGAACAATGATTTGCTCCAGCACAATTTCTTGACCTCTGTTCTTTGCCCATTGAATGGTCTTGGATCCCTTGACAAAAACCAACTGGCTATATGCAGTATGATCAAAATATACAATGAACACTTAAACTTGAAAAGTGTATTACAATAAAAGTCACATTGCCATGAATTCACCGCACAGTACTCCCCTGTATCTGAACATACTTATTTTGTCACTGTCTGAAACAATTTATGAGTGTCTTCATGAGGTATGACCAAAAGTGAAGGAAATACAGCTGCTGAGCGCCATCCAACAGAAAGGCAAGCTTGTAAAAATATGGTGTGTCCTCATCTACCTAATTCCCTGGGCCTGGCATCTGTGACATTAGGCTTTTCCCTAAAAGACTTGAAAGAGAAACATTTGACCCAGTTCAGAACTTTGAGGTAGCCATGACAGTGCAACCAGAGACAGTCACAAAAGGGGATTCTGGAACTGCTTCAGAAAGTGCCAAGAATGATGGGCTAAGTGTGTTCAAATCAGAGGATAGTATTTTGAGTAGGACTCACGGTGATATGCCTTTAACTGTAACAATTTTTGAAATTTAGACATCTGCTATATAGGTGTTTGGGTTTGTTTCTGGGCTCTAAGTTCTGTCCCCCTATCAGTCCATCCATGCCGATGCAGTGCCATTCTACTGTGGTACTCATAGTTCACTCTTAAGACTTGAAATCCGGAAGTGTGAGTCTCCAGTTCTGTTTTCTTTTTCTCTTTGTGGTTTGGATTTGTATTCCCCTGAGGTCCAATGATGTCACATTATTTTTGAAGAAGAATAAAGTGGGAGGGCCTGCCTTGTTACAGAGGTCAGCAAACTGTGGCCTGTGGACTAAATGTCTTGTGAATTACTTTCTTTTATTCTTTTTTTTTAGATATATATTTTTAAGGCATGGGGGAAAGTATCTAGTAAGAAGCAACTACCTGTGGCCTGAAGAGCCTAAAATAACTCCCCACTGGCTCCTTATCAAAAAGCTTGCAAACCCTTTCTTGATCAGATATTAAGAATTATTTTTCAAAAGGCTTTACTAACCAGTACAGTGGGTTGTGGGTTCAGAATAAGGGCAGTGAAGCAGTGCAGTGACCACATAGAGAGCACTGAAATGGCCCCACATACCCACCCAACTTCAAGTGGATCAAAGACTAAATATGAAAAGCAGAACTATCGTTAGGCTCTGACACTGAAGAATCTTCATGATTTGGTATAAAGGAGGATTTCTTCAGGCACTAAAGTGCATATCCAGGAGAGGGATCATCATTTAAATATGAGACATTGACACTGTGAGCCCCTGAAGCCACTGCCAGGTGTAGAGAGGCTAGTTTGCCTCAGTAGTAACCTCTGAGGTGTAAGCACCCAGACAATTTCAGGCGGTCCCACAAATCAAGAAGTAGGCAGTTCAACTGAAAATGGAGCAAGCACTTCAGAGAAGAAATGTTATCCTTATACAACCCCCAGTTTTATACTGAGAGATCTGCTAAATCCAAGAAGTGGCCAGGACATGGAGTGGCGAGCTCGTGGACACCCAGTGCCAGGAGCTGTGTAGCCTGGAGGCCCACTTGGGAAAACAGATGGGTACTGTGACCAAAGTTAAGGTGTGTGTTCCCCGTGGCTCAGCACTCCACCCGTGTACATGCAAGCGTGTGTGTCAGCATTCATAGCAAAGTTATGCATAGTCAGGAACGATCAACATGTTCCTCAGCAGTGAAGTGGACAAATCAGTTTTTATTCATGAGAATAAATGAACAGAGGGCAACTAGCTCGTCGGCAGTGTTGTGAGTCCCACAAATGATGCTAAACTGAGAAATCGGACATGAAAGAAATACACATGTTCAGTCATGCTTTCATGTAAATGAAAACACACAGAGCAGTTACATCAAAAACACAACACTGCCGAGGGGTTAGCTCAGCAGCGTAAACACCTGTGTGGCAAGCACAAGGTTGTGAGTTCGATCCCCAGTACCAAAAACAAAGCAAAAAGAAAAAGAAAATACAATGTTTAAAAAAAAAAACAACACTGAGAAATACATACACAGGATAAAAGTAAAGAAGTACCAGCATCAAGATGATGGTCACTTCTGAGTACTTTTTGTTTTATGTTTTGCAGTGCTGAGGTTGGAACCCAGGGCCTCACATGTGCTAGGCAGGCACTTTACTACTGAGCTGTACCCAACTGTGAGAGCACTTTTATGAGGGTGCTTCTGGGGTGCTGGTTGTGGCCAGCTGCTTGACTTAGTGGATCCATTTTTTTAATCAGTTAAATTGTACATTTATCTTTTTAAGGAGGAAAAGTTTAATTTGGCTTACATTTATGTTTTATGTACTTTTCCTGTGTAAGTATAATTCACAATAGCAGGAATTTAAAAGGGAATGTAACGATAAATATGCAAACATTTGTTATATTGCTCATAAAGGCAAAAACAAAATAAAAAGAAGGTAGCCTAAATATTCACCAGTAGGAATTGATTGACTAGAATAAAATAACTGACTGTGCAATGGATTAGAAAAGCTGAGAAACCTTCTGACTTCAGACTGTTTGGGGAGAAAAATAGTGTGTATACCCAAGTGCACAGAAACTTAAAACCTTATGTGAATGTATTCACTGACCCACTCATCTGTCCTTTATTTTATAATTTTACAATTGCAAAAATAAGCAGTCTCTAATTTTTTTAAGACAGGGTCTCTGCTGCCTAGGCTGACTTCAGACTCTTGGGTGGGTTCAAGTGATCCTCCTGAATCAGCCTCTAGGTAGCTGGGACTATAGGCACACACAGCCATACCTGGCTCTTAAGTGTATTTAATTGTGTTAAAAACATATTTCTTTTATAATCAAAAAAGGCCATGAAAACATTTTAAGAATGAATTCTAAAAATCAGTGTCCGCAGAAAATCATTGTATAAGTCGTATGTTAGACCTGAAAGCAGGCTTAGGGTTTAGCTAACTCTCATTAAGCTTATGTACTATTAGTCTGAAAGTTCAAAGGGATGCAGCGTCAGCCTGTCCCAGCTCCTTCTACCTGACAGCAAGTTAGTCAACCTCAGCAAGCAGCATGTGGAGTCCCTCTGCCAGGCTGTCTGTGTCCCCACTTTTGCCTGTCGTTGGAGCTGTGGTTGTAGGTTATCTGAGGGTAGTAATCCTCCCCCACCAACCCACTTGTGAGTGGTTCTGGGAGACCCAGCATGTCTGGGGCCATGCATTTGTTTACCACTCTAAGTCACTGACACAGAATATCTCTTGTGCTGCACACACAGACTGTAAGCTGCCAAAGAAACCCCAATTCCCTTCCTTTTTATTACTAAGCACCAAGGCCCAAGTCCCCACAGCAGGTCCCTGACCAGAACTGAGCTGCAGCCCGGTGTGAGTGGGAGACTGAAGGTCACTCAGTTTCAAGGAGAAGACTATAACATGGGGAGTAGGGGGATGAGCTCTTCCTGGGGAGCAGGAGGGAGGAGAACAGTGACAGTTGATTAAACCTCTAGTGTTGACCGCCCAGAAAGACTTGGGTTTCTCCAGCCAAGGAGACAGCCCTGCACAGACTATTCTGAGAAATTTGCATTAAAGCCAAGTGAAATCATTGATTTATTAATTTTTTTTATGCCTTTGTTCTTTAAAAAAAAAAAAAGATTGGGGTAAACTATGTCTCTTTAAGTCTCTTGCCACCAGACCTTTCCAGGTGAACAGTGTCTAACAGCTGAGCAGACACATCCTAGAGTCCCAAGAGCACAGGACAGGGTGGCCTCCTGAGTGTGTGCTGAGCGCTGGCTGTGAGGTAGTCTTCATGACTAAGAATGCAGTTGTGATTTGCCATTTAATAAATAGGTCAGAAGCTATAAGTACACAACAGCTTTGCTGGGAACCCCTCCAAAGCTTTTGTCAATTTTTTCATCTCATTGTTGAGTTCATAGTTTAGAAATAAATCTGGGTTACTTATAAGCCTTTCAGATCCCACAGTAGTAGCACATTCACATTTTCTGCATTTGGGTTGCTATAGCAAAATACTACCGGCTGGGGGGCTTGAACAACAGACATTTGCTTCTGATAGTCCTGGAGGGTGCAGGTCCAAGCCTGGGTGCTGCTGGTGAGGCTCGTGGAATATGCTGTCCTTTGGGCTAAGAAGCTCCACCCTCTTGCTTGTCCACACATGGAGGAGAAAAGGAGGAACCTGTAGTGGTGTCTTCTCATAAGAGCACCAGGCTAGGGGCCTGGGGATTTAGCTCAGCAGCATAAACGCCTGCCTTGCAAGCACAGTTGCAATTGTGAGTTCAATCCCCCGGTAACGGGTGGGGGAACACAACACCAGGCCATTGTGGGGCCCACTGTCCTGGTTGATCTAACCCTAATCACCTCCCTCAGGCCCACCTCACTGGGGACTAGGGTTCAACATAGAAATTTGAGGACACTGACTCAGTCTTTACCAGGTCTGTGATGTTGTGAAATACATCTTTGTCCTTCATCCCACCTCCAGACACCTGACCTCACCCCTGAGGCATTTAGTTAATTGAACTAAGAGACAAAGTCTCCTCTTGTTTTGAGTCTCTTCTGAGGTGCTAATGTACTACTGGAGGTACTG